CCGATGACAGTCTCCTGGATGTGTGTGCACCTATTCTCCCATGTTGTAAATCAGTTTATTGTCTAATTAATGGCGATGCTTAACTGTGGCACTGTTTTTGCAACTGTGGTTGGGCGAACTTAATTGCATTTCGTCACAGAGTGACAAAGCAAATGCCACGGGGCAAAAGCTCAAATGAAATGCACATCGATCGAAAACCGAGAAAAGTGAAGGGCACATGTGGTGGTGGAAGCAGGGGATGAGCTGCAAAGTTCTTGCCTAACTTGGTTATATTTTTAATCAAAACTCATTTCGCTTGATTGAGTTTCCACAGAAGCCGCCTGTGTCTGCACAAAACACAAGCTGTCGTAGTAAGAGGATTTTCCCGGGCCCCGGACTAAACTTTAATTTGCGGCATTAATTTATTACAGAGAGCTGGGACAGTTTCCATGATGGAAATGGCGCCTGGCTAAACATTCTTGCATGTTATTTATTTTTGCAAGTGCCTTGGCCAGGCAATTAGTCCTCAGGTAAGGAGGAAAGGACGATGGGAAGGTTGTGGCAGGGGCAGGGCCTTTGTTGGCCATCAATTCAAATGCCTGTCCCGAAGCACTAATGAGCATTAATTGCATTTACAGTCTCAATGGCCGGCGACCCTTCCTTTCAGTTGAGTCCACTGCAATATGCCCGCTTTATCATCCCCAGCGAGACAAAGTGGAATCGAAATGGCGTACAACTATGGCCTTTTTCAACGGAATCCGGTTGTCATGCCAATCTAACGCGGGAGATATTAAAAACGCTGGTTGTCATAACTATAAGGGGGCTGTAGGTTCCAATAAACAATGTCATGCCTCAAGAAAAAAAAAATAAAAAACTAATATTTTTAAGGAAAATAACTACTTTTAATGATTTTATTTCAGTAAGAACTACTCAAAAGGATTTAATTTGAGTAATTTAAAAATCGAAAAGCATATTTAAAAAAGGAAATTAACACTGCTTGCAATAATTAATTATAAGGTTGAAGAACTGCTTTGAAGGAAATAACTGCTTTAAAGGATTTTGTTACAGTAATTTAATAATACAACGTTTACACTGGCCCTGATACATAGTTATAAGCTAAAAGAATAGTTTTTTCAGCATTAAAGCAAATAAAAAGAGTGCCCTACTATTTTCTAAAAATAAAATCTAACTTATCTTTTCATTACACGCTGTTAAAAACGCCAGTGCCCCAAAAAAACGACTTCCCTCAGTCATATAAAAATGAAGACGCGAATTTTCTCCGTCCCTATTATTTTACGACTCCTGAGTTGACAAAATAAATCTGGAACGCACTGTATGCCAAAGTTTCCCCCAGAAACTAAAGAAGCCCTACAAGAAATACGCTAGCATCTGCAACATTTTTGGCAAATTGTTTTGTTTTGCATAGTTTTGTTGATACTTGCGACTTGGAAAGGAAGGGGAGCCATAAGAAAGGGGCTACTCATGTTGGAGCATCCATAAAACACAAATAATTGGAAAACGTTTGCCTGCATAAATTATGCACGAAATTGAAATTTATTGTCAACAACGGGTGGGAATAGACAAGGACTCTTTTTCTTTTTTTTTTGTTTTATTTGGGAAAAAGGACCTCCCGCTGCATAAGATACAAATGGCCAATCAATGGGGGTGAGGGCAAAAAGCTGGCGGAGGAATAATTATATGTACACATGCTGAATATTGATGATGAATTGTTTTGTCTAGCAGCCCCAAAAAAAAAGAGAAACAAAAAAAAGAAATTAATAGAGCCGGCGGAGGAAAGTCGTCAATGCGGTTAATGATGCCAACGCCATTTGCAGGCCGGAAACGGAAATGCCACGCGCCCACACACAAAAGCGGACATGCGAAATAATGCCATATTATTCGGTCATTCTTGTCGGATCAATTATAATAACAAATTACTTCAGCCACAGCGTCTGGGTCGACAAATGCAATTACCCACGCCGGACTTGCCACGAATCCTCCGGAATCCCCCCAAGGATCTGCTGGGCATAAAAGTTGCCAACCTTGCGAATTATTGCACTCATTTCCCGCCAATCACACCACGCTGTTTTCCCTGCGTTGAGCACAAAACTTTTCGCATAAACAGAACACAATTAGAGTGCGGCCAGAAATCGAATTATTTATTTGTACTGTGTGGGCAAATATTTAATTTGATTGTTTACTTAATTAAACTAGCGAAAATTAGGTCTCGTGCGGGGCACTAATTATGCGAAATAATTTCGGAAACATTTTGCTAAAATATATTTTACTAAAATATTTTTATGAAATATTTTCAACTGATCTTCAGACAATTATCGGCGAGAAATTTCAAAGAACAGGTGCCAAAAGATCACTTACACGGTCGCCACCCCAGCCAATTCAATTCATTGAATTGTTTGCCACTGCCATTCATTGAAAATTTCAACAATTGATTCGTTTTCAGTTCACCGCTCGTCACGTACAACAACAAGACACAAAAAGCATTCGAAACACGGGCAAAAAAAACGCGTTCTGTTATCGGCGGGCAAAAGATGACGCTCCACTCCGCTTTTCGCACCGCTCTGCTCTGCGTTCCGTTGGAAAATGGTACGCCATCCGGCGAAAATTGCCTGCCGAGGCTGCTGGCCGACCCCCCACATTTTCCCCCATTTTCCCATCCTTGCACACGACGCACACTGGAAAAAATACCTAAGAAGTCGCTCAAAACTCAGGGACTATTTATATGATTACTGCAGATCATTCTTTATATATAATGGTTACTAAGAAAATTCCTTCAAAGTATTATTTTAGGATTCTTGTTGTTTTAAAAGTAATATAATGATAGTAATACAAATATTTCAAAAATTGTAAAATTTATTACAGAGATCCCTTACAGAGGGTTTTACAAATTCATAATTTGTAAATTTGTGGGAAATTAGTTTAGTTAAAAATAAAAAATAGAAAATTTAGATGAGACATACTAATTTAATCGAAGAAATGGTAAAAAAATAATTATTATTAATTTAACTTCCTATCTAATAATATTTTAAACTACTTTAATCCACAAATATGGTAAATATGCGTACCATATTTGTATTTATTTCATTTATAAATAATATTGAAAAAATATATTTTTGCTGAGTGAACAAACACTGCTTTCATTAGCACAACTTGTCAGCAACAAGTTGTTGGTGAACTGCTTGCACGCTTTGTGTGCCGAGTAAATTGGTTGTTATGGGCGTGTATAACAGTTTTTCCGGTGGGCGTGGCCAACACAGCTGGGACCCAAAAATTGTTAAAGATTTTGAGTTTAGTGGAGGAAATTTATTTAGCCCAAATGTCACGTTCGTTTTCTATAAACAAACATGTATTTAATGTATTTTTTTAGGACTTAACAGGGTATTAAATACGAAAAGTGTTTTTTTTTAAGTAGATATTTAAAAAACCAGTATAAGTAAATAATAAAAATGCAGTAAAATTTAAGGGATATTTTTGATAGATCTGTTAATTTTTTATCAAAGCAAAAGTTTTTCTACTTGAGGAAACAAAGGGTTAAGACCCCTCAAATGCATAGGAACTCGTGTTTGCTTCACTTTCAAACTGCAGTTAAGAGCATTTGAAGCGATTGCAAGACAACTTTTTTATTATCCTGGAATAACCTTCAATATTTTTTCACTTCAATGAAAACTTTCTCCACAAACTTCCATAAAATTTATTCCTGAATTTCTGATGTTTCCTGATGTTGCAAGGCGGACGAGTATAAATATTTTATGCGGCTCTCTGACGTTCTTCAGAGAAAATTGGTATCGACTTAGAATTGATAAAAAATTCGTTACAAAATGTAAGAGAATTTCATATAATATGCATTTTGCAATTATCAGCCATCTCTGGTTTGAAAATTCCTGGGTTTTGAGCACAAGCCAATGTGTTTAGCTCGGAAAACCCTATGTCCATAGAGGTGATTTTAAGGAAAATTGCTTTTGCAATATAATTTTCTGCACATGTCCGCAGATGTATGTACGTGCATGTGCCTCCTATCTCTTTAGAGTTTATTTTATGAACGGCCAGGAAAAAGGCAAGAGGATGGTTAAAAGTTCACACAAGGGCTTACACTTTTTAATTGTTTCTTTATTACATGCTATTTCTTGGTTACTTGGCTCGAAGTAAAAGTAACTTGACTGCAATTGTCTTGGCTGACTTTATAGAAGACCTTTGTGTAATTAATTAATTAAAGTCTGCAATGAATTAAAAATTGGTTCCAATTTTAAAGGACTCATCATCTTGTTCGATTCGTGTTGTTTATTATCTCCAAGCAGCTTAGCCGGAATTTAATAAAATGCAATCCTATCTTTTTTATTTCCATACATATTTTTTTTATGAAAGTCTATCCAATCCAATCTTTCTTATTTCCATACATATTTTTTTTTGATGATAGTCTATCTTTAATGGAATAGGAAAAAAAGTCTTTTATGATTTTGTTTGGTTAAACATAATTTAAAACCATTTAGAAAATTCGAATGCAATTGATTGTTATTTATTTATATAAATTCAGATTATTATTTATTTATTAAAAAGTTATAAATTTAAATATATAGAACCTAACTTTTCCCTTTTCAAGATACATTTAACTTTTATGTTTCTTTTACTAAAGTGATATAACTTTTGTCTACCAAGTTTTTTTTTTGTCTATAATGTTATGATTTATCGGCTTAATATCGGGTTTTATAAACTTTAATCCAGTTACCCATGAATAATATGATTAATCTAGCGCCAGCTGATTAAGTTAGTTTGAGACTTAGGCAGTGGCGTATATAATGATTTTTTTTGTTAGGTAATGTCACTTTACTATGGTATAATACCGGCGCTTTTTGCTCGCACGTTCTGGCTAGATAAAGTCCATACAGACGGGCTTTAAGCAAAAAAAAAATAAAGTCTAGAGAGTGATGTAAAGACCGCAATCACATGCACGTTCTAGACCCCATGTCGCAGTCGAGTCGCTGACCCATAAAAGTGGGGATCTCCGTGGTCAGAGGCATCAGTTCCATCGGCAACATGTTCCACTCCAGGCCTCAGTCGCAATCCAGCTCCTTGCTCAATTTTGGTCTACTTCTGACCTTTGTACTGGCTTTTGTCGGGGTTAAAGGTGACTACGACTGGTATGGCGATTATACGGGCTCTGAATTGGACTACATCTTTGCCGATGTGAACTACGATGCCGTGTGTCCCCCTGGTGGCTATGCAGTTTGTGCCTCCGATGGATACAACTACCATCCATTTTCGAGCAAGTGTCGCCTGGACTCGCAGAACTTGAAGCTGCTGTTCGCCGGCAAGAAGGGTAAGTTCTGGCTTAATATCCTTATTCCAAACATTTCCTAGCCATACGGCACATTTTGTTATTATTTGGACTAATTTTTAAGAAGTTTTCTTAATTAAAACCATCAAAATAAATATCGCTTTAAAGGATTAACCATCAAAGAGAACTAGATATATATTCTTTATTTAAATATTCCAATGAAAAATATAAAATAAATATAACCAATGATATTTCTTCATACTTTCTTTCTTCTCTTATTTTGCAGAACTTATCCAAACTGATCTGAAGTACTGTTCCTCGTATCCCCGCCAATCGTATGGGTCCTCTGCTCCTGCCCAAAGTTACTATCCCAAGAGCTCGCCAGTCCAAAACTTAGCCCCAATTCAGTATTCCTCATCCTCTGGCCAGAATTCGTATGCCTATGCCGCTGCAAGTGGTCCCTATGGCGCCAAGGCAACGGCTGAGGCTCCTGGTCCATATCCTGTGGCTGCTCCTACCTACTCCGTTTCATATCCTTTAGCTCCCGCCCCTGCTCCTGCTCCCACTCCCTCTCCCGCTGCCTATGCCCCGCCCCCAGTCAAGTATCCTTCCCGTCCAGCCAAGTATCCCGACCCATTCTCATCCTACCCCGCCTATGCCGCTGTTCTAAGCTCCGCCGGCACCACCAAGGCGCCACCTAGCGGATCGACCACGACCTCGGCCACTAGCTCCACCACAAAGGCCAGCAGATATCCACCATATCCCACCAATGACCCAACAACCACGGTGACAACCACGGCGGCAACAACTACAGAAGCAACAACCACAGAAGCAACAACCACAGAAGCAACAACCACAGAAGCAACAACCACGGCAGCAACAACGACGGAAGCAACAACCACGGCAGCAACAACCACGGCTGGAACAACCACGACTGCAACAACCACGGCAGCAACAACAACGGCAGCAACAACCACGGCAGCAACAACCACCGCAGCAACAACCACCGCAGCAACAACCACCGCAGCAACAACCACGGCAGCAACAACCACGGCAGCAACAACCACCGCAGCAACAACCACGGCAGCAACAACAACCGCAGCAACAACCACCGCAGCAACAACCACGGCAGCAACAACTACGGCAGCAACAACTACGGCAGCAACAACTACAGCAGCAACAACCACGGCAGCAACAACCACAGCAGCTCCTTAAGTAAGTATATCCTAAGCCACCAATCCGATCTGTAAACTGTATAATCCCTATCCCATTTCAGAACCCCTAAAAACTGAACGAAAAAAGCATCGATCAGCAGCACCACCAATGAACGCCAAACTGGAAGGCCTAGGAAATCCACCGATAAACCTCTTAAAGATATCACCCAACGAAATATTAATTTTAGCCTCAGCAATATGTAGAGTGTTCAATTTAGCCACAATAAAACAATCAGTAAGGCACATAAACAAGTTGAGTCGATAGCATCTGTTGTTTTGGATTTTTGGGGCACTGAGAGAAAGTAATATACAAGTTTGGCAGATCTAAGGTCATAAAAAAGAAATGATTTACAAATTTTTTTCACCTTAAGAAAACGCAAGTTCAAAACTAATTATATTAAATTTTATTTTATTTTTTAGTGATTTTTAAAAGTGACCATTTTTTAAAACTGATAAGGAAAAGTGGCTCTTACTTGGCACTATAAAAATATGAATTTTAATGACTTCGAAAGGACAATCAAATATTTGTTTATTTTTTTTAAAGACACAGTATCAAACTTTCTAATGGTATAGAAGATTTTTAGTTTCATAAGTTAATGACGAGAAAGTGGCCCACCCTACAGACCTGTCCCTTATATGCTTTTTTGATTATTTCATAAGTTCTCATGATTTAAAAATTGAAATTAAATCTATAAGCATATAGTTTATAACTACATTAGAATTTTAAATATCTTAATATGATACATATATTTTGTTTATATTTTACTTTTTACTTAAATAGTATTACCCAAAACTAAAATGCAATTTATTTTTTCAAGTGTTTGAACTTTTCGCTAAGAGACTTTCAAAGCTTAACAGAAATGTTTTACTTCAGTAAATTCTTTGGCATCCCATTACAAAAATGAGTTTAAAGGGATAAGGCTTTTCAAGGATGTTGTTAGATATTTTCTATGTGGTGTTTGGGTGATTGGGTGGTGGGGTGTGGGTGGTGTGGGTGGTGTGGGTGGTATGGGCGGCACTTATCAGCGCCTCTCACCCCACACACGCGAACAGGTGTTTGCCATTGTTTGTGGGCTGCATAATTTTCGCTGCGGCTTAATAGATTTTTTTAAGCAGTTTTCCGCTTTTGTGCTCGCCCTATCTTTTGACAATAAAACGGCATTAAGAGCGGGTCGGAAATCGGTGGCGGAAGGGTCGAAACAATGGGCCACAATGGATGTGGGTGGTGGGTGGTGTAGGGGGTGGTAGCCTATGCCTGGCGGTAAAGCGGAAACGGAAATTAACAAATGCCCCAGGCAGCACTTGGCATGCCAAACAACAAGGACAAGCGCCCAGCTAAAATAGCCATTTATATTCAAATTGTCTTAACTTGGCTCAGATTTTTGTGCCCACGAGCCAACATTTTTCTGACAGTATTTGTATTTTGTTTTTTTCCACCTCCGAGGGCGGCCCAAAGTTTAATGGGCAAATCTGTTTAATTAAATGATAAACATTTAATTTGGGGAGCCAACACTTTGTTTATTATTTTCAAGATAAAAGATGTACGATTGGAATTTATTACGAAAATGGTTAAAGGGTTTTTTTACCAACACATGAAATGCAAGCGAGGTTAGTTTATTGTTTATTTTATTGTTTAAGGATGTGTAAGCTTCATATGTTTTTTTGCAGTAAGTAGAAAATATCTTTAATCATCAGAAATAGTAAACGCTGACGGAAAGGTTTTTTCTTGCTCTTAAAGAGTTGTAATCAAACTACGCCAAAATGTAGTACATTGATAAAAAGTGTAAGATTGCTGTTTTTATTAGTAACTTTAACTCTAAAATGATTAGCTAAACTTATCTCAGTTCTGGTTTTTGGTTGAGAATTTGGCTTACAGGTGTTTGTCATTCAAACGATAAACTGCTGGAATTATCGAGTTAACATAAATAATTTTACTGCTGAATTTTGCATACATCAAAGTTGTCGTCTTGCAAAATGGTAATTCTGGCCCCCCTTCCATTTCATGCAAAAACATTTCACAACTTGCGCATATTTTGTGTAAAATAATTTGTAAAATTTCATTTATTTGATGTGATTTACCCAGCCAGCAATGTTGCTTTTTTCGCCGGCAACTCGGTGTTTTCGCTTTGCTTATTAAAAGTTTTCACCGCGAGTGGAGAGTGTGAAAAGTGCTGAGCAGGCGAAAAGATCCAGCACAATTGAATGAACTCTTTCTTTTTATTCTGTTTTTTTTTCGCAAACTGGCGCCACAAAACGCTGAAGTGAGACTTGAAAGACAGCTGTCCGGGAAAACTCAGCCACCCCTACTTTTGATGGCCGATAGCAGATGGCAGTCCCAGCATCCTAAGCCAATTATTGACATTCCCGGGCAGCTCGCATAAATCAAAATTTGCACAGAAGCCCACGAAGGGAACTTGGCAAAATGGGGAAAAACTCGGGAAGGAGATTAAGTTGGAGGAGCTGTTTCGGATCGGTCGTTCTTAAGCGGATTTAAGTGATGGGCACTCACCGATTTCGCGGGTCCTTCGAAAAGGTAAATCATTATAAAGAAAAAAATAAAATTATTTTGGTTTCTTTTTAAGTTTAACCTTTTTTGAGAAATAAATTTTTATTTAACTTTTTTTTCGAAATGTAAGCAATATTTTTAAAAATGAAAGTTTTTGAAAATGTTTTAGGGAATTTCAGTATTTTTTTTAATATGCCCCATTTGTTGGTCACTCTAAAATGAAAATGTATCCATAAAAAAAGGATCTAAAATCTTGTTATTTCCTTGAATTTTATTTCTATTAATTTCTTAAATTTAATAAATATATTTTGAAATGTAATGAATATATAACATTTACAATTTTTTAAAAATGTTTTTAGGGAGTTTTAGTATTTTTTTGAATATGCTCCTTTTGTTGGTACCTTTAAAATTAAATTAATCCACAAAAATAAGAATACAAATCTTGTTTATTCTCTGAATTATATCTCTATTAATTTTTCGAACACGTTTTACCCTTAACTAAATTTATTTAATTTATTTTGAAATGTATACCATAAATATAAAAAGTAAAATTTCTGAAAATGTTTTGAGGGTGATTTAGTATTTTTAAGAACTAGGTCCTTTTGTTGGTAGATTAAAACTAAAATTAATTCACAATAATACGATCTAAGATCTTGTTAATTCCTTGAATTGTATATCTATAAATTTCTTAAGCACGTATTTTTTACCCTAAGCAGCAACTGTGTTTTAAAGGAAACAGGTGCTTATTTTCGAACTGAATGAAACTCCAACCAATTAAAAGTCAAAACAATTCGTGTTCCACAAAGTCGAGTACAAAGTATCTGACAGTCGCGTTCCCTGCATAAATCACAGCTCTCGTTTTTTTAATAAATTTGAAGCGGGACAAGATTTGTGGTGGCTTAGTCGCGGGCAAATATTTTATTTAGATGCCGTGCTGCCACGCCCTTGCCGCATAAATCAAATACCGTTCCTTTTGATTTTCATCGCTTCTTTTTTTCACAAATATTTTTTCTGGCCGCTCTGCACGAATTGATATTTATGGCCGTGAAATCGGCTTATAACATTACCCATTGCCCCCCAACCACTGCACATATATGGTCTATATATATACAAGCGGGTTGTTTATAATTCAAACGAAAATCGCACCGAAATCAGATCGCACTTAACGGACAAGAACAATGTGTGGGTTATTTTTATTGGATTTAATTGCCAGTGCTTGAACTTGGCCAAGAAATCGCGGGTATAAGGTCTCTGCCGGAAGCGAAAAAACCTCGGAAAATCCACTTTGCCCAAGAGTAATCAAATAATGAATGATAAACGGGCGTTGATTTTCGGGGGAAGGGGTCTAAATTTGGATTCCATCAGACGGTTGGATTCGGGATTGTGGGAATAAACAAGATACTTTGTGTTGAATTTATTGGCGGGGAATCTCGGGCAGCTTTTCCACTTTACCGACAGCTCGCATCCAATATTCATAGATTTCAATTAATTAGCCACCTGACGATTAATGGGAATTAAGCTTCGTTAATCACGCGTTTTTATACATGGATAGGTATTTATACAGGTATCATTTTCATATATGCAGTTGTATATAATAAAAACTTAATCATATAATCAAGTTGCTTATATAACAATTCGTACACATCACCTTTAAATAGGGTATTTTGAAGCTCATTTAAAATTTTAATTGAGTTTATTTTGGTCAACAAGACATTCGTCACTCAAATTTGATTAATTTTAAACTTTCCTTTTCGGTATTCCTAGATCAAAACACGAGGAAAAGATTAATGAAGCATTAATAATGCCAATGAGTGGTTTACTTTTCGAACAAATTTAGCTTGTTTGTTTGGAATGGGTAAATTATGAGCTCCTTCTATTAAATTCAAGATTATCATTATTATTATTTATCTTTTGTTATCCCAAGTTTGAAAATAAATAGCAATGTTTTGAGTGAAAGATTATTTTTGATTGAGGAATATACAAAATAATATTTGCATTATTTTAGTGTGAAGAAAATTAAATCAGCATTTAAATAGTAAACATATTTAACGATGTTTATTAAGTTTGTTCAGGTTTACTTAATGACTTTGACTGATTGATAAAATGTTGGGATTTTAAAAAATATTTTGTTTAGGAATTTGTATACTTTATTAGCCACACTTAGCACAGAAAAAAATATATACAAATATCTTTCAACTTTAATTGAGTTTGGCATTTTTACAGAGATTTGAATATCAAAATATTTCTGAATTTATACATTTTTTATTTCGACTTTATGTATACAAAAAATTCTTTGTGTATTTTTTCCCGGAATGTACATTTTGGCTGTCATAATTTTAGCTTTTTTGAATCAGAATTATGCCATGTTATAAATTTCTTATCACACTTTGACAGATATTATTTGAATTTTTCCCCGACCGCCTGTGGTAACAACATTAGCTGCGTGCAAAACCGTTTTGTTTATCCAGCTCAACGAATATTGGTTATTAATAGCCAGTGACAGGGGATGCAGTCACTTCTATACCGCATTAAAATATTCAAATGTCCCAGGCTAATGGACAAAAAGTACGTAGAGTCGGCGTCTCCGGCTCCATCGAATATGTTTTGTTTGCAAAATTAATCAAAAGCGCAACTGACAGCTCAGGGAGCGTCGCAAGGAAAATAAATTAAAAATACATAAAGCGCTCAATTACGAAATTTGGTACATTTAATTTGTAAGCCAGTCGAGGCCAAGAGACTGGGCTAAAAAAAAATAAGGCAATAGAAGTGGCCAAAAGCAGTGTCAGTGGCAATGGAAGTGGAATTCAATTTCCATGAATTTTTTGCTGCCCGCTGCCCTCTGCCACTGCCAATTTCTTGTTTTATTTTATTTTCCGTGTTTTTCTTGCTGGGCTTAATACACATTTTTTTTTTTGCTGCTGTTCCGGGGGCAATATAAAAATTTAATATTCGCCCAGAAGTCGGCTGCAATAAAATGCCTAACAGAATGTAGTGGCGCAAGTAACTTCAATGTGGAATCATAAACCATGATCCCGACCCCCCGAAACTCGCCGAAATTATGTTGTAAAAGCTGCGAAAAACAAGCAAATGGCGACACTTGAGATCCCATTTCCCGGCCATTTTCCTGTACATTTTCCCCCACGGCAGAAAAGACAGTCAGACAGTCAGACAGACAGACAAACAGTCGCCTCATTAGTGGAGTGGTCAGTGGGCAGCTTTAAGACTCGCTGGTGGGGCGGGATAATATACCAAAAACGCATAGGAATAGCGGCCATGGAGGGTGTGAGTTATAGGGGTCCTATCTGAAATGGGTCGGACCAGAACAAAAGCATATGCAAACTCGTTTTTCGGGGGCATCGGGTCCTTCTTGGCCGAAATCAGACATAACTTATTTGCAGGCTTATCGAATGACAGGCCCAAGTGGAATTCAAAAAGGAAATCTTTGTGTGGGATGGCAGAAGTAACCATTTATATGGCAGTGGGGGGTACCTGACCTATTTAATATATTTTTTTTAGGAATTAATTGGAATTTATCTATGAGTTTGAGGGTTGTACTTCATTATTTAACCAGTTTTTAAATAAAAATGAGTTAAGTGAATTATATACTTCATTTTGTATTGAAAAATACAATATGCCTAATATTAATTTGATTTTTGATTGGACTCTTTTCTGACAATAAATTGTTGTTCTTAAAACAAGTGATTTTGTATATTTGTTATTTTTAGATAAATACTACCCTTAAGAGGTCTTTGAAATTCTTACGACTAACTATGACTGCTTGAAAATTGTTTCCTTTCTCGACTTTTACAAGATACAAATTGATTCCCCCTTTTCTCTTAATTTCCTGTTAGTGTTATTCAAAATGTCTGGGGGAAAGCCTCAATTTTAATTGGCCTGTCTATTGCGGTGTAAAACATTAGTTGAGTGAAACATTTGGGCGACCCATGTCGACACTTGTAAGGCCTTTAATGAAGAACCTGTCATCAATGTATTTGCGGTTGGACGCGACTCCTTGTGCCCTCGGCTGTCAGCTGTCATGTACACAAGTGCCCCCCATTTGTCCCGCCATTTGACGCCCTTTGACCCCTTCGCAACCACCGCAAATTTTTGCCTGAGTTTGTGTGAGCCGTGCAAACATGGCCACCAACTAATGAGCCCTCGTTTAGCAGCTGTAGGTATTTTAACCAGCGACGATCCATCGAGAGGGAAAACATAAATAAAAATCATCAGAGGTGTGGAAATAAAGGTTAACAGGATAAGACAGAATTGGGTAATTTCGTTATTCCCTTTGCGTTAAAAAGAAAATTTCTGCATTTGCATACATTTTGAATATTAATTTAAAGGGAATTAAGTTCTTCATGCAACAACTTTATGCACAAAATTAAAAAAAATGCAAGGGATTATAAAAGATTAAGAAATCAAAGGGAGCTTAAATGAATTTCCAGAAACCGATTTAATTTGTTCATCATTTTTGTTGCGAGTTTAGCATTTTGAAATCAAATGTATAAATTCTTGGTAAAGTATTACAGTCGGATAATTCATCTTATTTTTTTTCTTTTAATTTTTAATTTGAAGTAAAGTTTAGCTGGTAATGAGGAAATAAAGCTGTAAATATGATTCCTTTTCGCTTTCTATTTAAATTTAAATTTAATATATCTAAAATTGTTCACAACAAGTGTAAAAGAAACTATTTTGAGGGGTAAAGCCATGATGAACATGTCAAATCCGGAACTATTAAGCCTGACAGATATTTGCCGGAAAGCATGCTTCGCATTCGTCTTGAAGCCTGGGTGGCGAGGTGGAAATTGAAATGGAAATGGAATTGGAACCGAGGCCCGTCGAACAGCACATAAATCAGCTGCCAGCGCTTCTCACATAACTTATTGCACACTTTGAGGCAGCAATATTGCAATTGTTTGTTGCCACACAAATGCCAGTCATTCCGGGAATTTGTATTGGGTCTTAGCCTTAAGCCTGGCAGTAACAAACAAATACACACAATCCCCACATATTCTGGTCCCAGCTAATTGAATCAGAAACCGCAGCATGAAATCGACAAACAAACGAAACGGCCCACGCGGCGGATACGCAATGCGAAATGGAAAAGGGACTATTTTAGAGCCCAGCCAAAGGATTGCTGACCAGATTGATAAATCCCCAGGCGACAGCCTTTGACATAAAATGAGAGTGGAGCATACATTTATGCGATTCCTGAATAAATCATTTCCTTGCAGTGACGTTCTTTTTTATTTTTGTGGTTCTGCCCAAAATAAATACGCTTTAAGTGTGTGTGGGGTCATGACAGGACGCCTTCATTTTTTTCCGGGAATCCATGGCGTATGAGCAATATGTGTCGCGCGTAAAACAAACAATATTCACACAGCGAAAGCCGCACGAATTAAGGAAATTCGGTGAATGACGCGTGCAATTAAATGTAATTTAATGTTCTCTCTGTTTACCTCGACGACGGGGTGCTCCTCGACCTTTTCTTTCGGGATCAAAGTTCACAGCTCGTTTTTGGCGCCTCGAATGCCGAATGCCAAGACGATCAAACGGCCGAAAAAACGCGCCAAAAATCGCGGCACTCAAAAATCGAAAATTCCGAAATTATTCGATACCGGAATCCGCAACCGTTGTGCTCGCCACAGCCACCGGTTGGCAAGTGAAAAGAAAATGCCTCATCAGAACAAAGGAATCCCACGCCGAGGATTCAAATGGGCAAGCAGTGCTTCTTGGACTGCTTGCCGAAAACTGTTATACGCCGGAAGTGCTCGGAAATATTTCATTAATTTATCTACTTTAAACATTTATTTCAATTAATATGTAATTATATTAAATAACTATAAAATTGGTAATATTGTAGTCTTTAACAGTAGCAAGACTCTTAAATCTATTTTTTACCGGATTTAAATGGAACAGACTTATAGTACTTTAACTTTGTTAACTTTTATTTTATGACTTTCTACTTATGTAAACAGGGCTATTTTATTTATTTTATTCTAACCTCCAAAATAGCCATAATCTTTCATTTTTAAAATGTTTTCCTTTAATTCAATTTCAACTCACATTTATTTTTATTTTATATTTTTTTTATTTTAGTTTTCAAAATGATTTTTTCATTATTGTACCGAAGTGCCTAATACTTTAAATTCAAAATTTAGCAAAAAATGTGTCTTTCAAGGTTTTAAAACGAATTCTGTTGTATTTTTAGTCAGTAATAAGCTGAGCAGTTAAGTTTTGAAATAATTTTACATTTATTTATCATTTCGTTTCGGTAATAACTCGAATATTTTCTACAGTAAATAGAGAAAGTAATATCCAGTCTTCCAACCAAGAACATTTGCTTTTTACTGCTTAGCTGAGCTTTTAGCGTAAGCAGTGCAACTTTATGGTAAGCAGTTTTTTAAACTTCAGATTGCGTGGTTTTGGTCTTGACATTTTCTTTGTACTCCGATCCGGGAATATCTAAGTCGAGAACAGAGAAAGAGAACCCGAGTGGGGGCTGATGGCTTTCGGTTTTTTGTACTTTATTTTGGATTTCTGGCGGCACTTACATTGGAAATGGGGCTCTGGCACGTATACTTCCGATAGACAGGCGCCGTCTGCGGCTCTTGTATGTAGTTATTGTTGTTTCTTCAGAGATTTACCTTAGAGAAGAACAAGTTGGTCGTATAAATAGTTGTCGAAGGGTAAGGTTAAGTCATCAGTTACCCACCAACCTTCGAAATGTGGAGAGTGTTTGCCTGTTTAGTCCTGATGTCAGCTTTGACCTTCTCCAAGGGTCATCGCGGAGATTACCCGGGATTTCAACGTCTAAAAAATGTTCCGAGTTATAACCAACGACCCTGTGGCCCCCGAGTTTGTGGCAAAAGCGGGCTTTGCTATCGCAGTTTTGAAAGTATCTGTGAACTCAACGACTATAATGTAAAGCTGATATTCAGTGGCCAAGATGGTGAGAAATATTTCGGTTTTGAATTACATTTTACATCATATATTTACTATTTTGTCGGAATTTACTTTGTCATATTTTGTTTCTTAAAATATAAATAATTTATAACTAATATGTTTTCCTTTATAGAATTCGTTTTGACAGACCCTATTTATTGCCAAGAGGCACCGTCGCTGCCGCCGCCAAAGCTTATTGATGTGGGCTACTATTATAATCACCGAAGTTTGGTGGTAGCTCAACCGCCCCGCTCGCTTTACTCACCCCGCCTACCCAGACCCAGAATTTCCAATGATCCAGAATATATCAGAAATTACGACGCGATCCCACCATCAGATAATTATGATACAGCGCCGGACTACGATCTTCCGTATCCGATATGGTCTTTTAAGAGGCCTCAAGCTCCGCGGAGAAGGAACCGAGTGAGTTACAGGCCTCCATATTGGAACTACCCCACCAGGCGACCAGAAGCAACCAGGCGGCCATGTTATGAGACAACAAGAACCACCACAAAAGCTCCTATATCAACTAAGATCCCCACGTATTCAACAACAACCACAGCAACTGAGCCATCTACAACTACGACTGCAACTGAAACTACAACGTCTACTAGTGAAGCATCTACGACAACAGCAAGCACTGAAGCTTCTACAACAACAAGCACCGAGAGAACAACGACAACTTCAAGACCGACAACAACTACAACTAGATCAACAACCACAGAACCAACAACCTTAAAATCAACGACTCAGTTAACAACAACTACCGAAACAACCACAGGACCATCAACGACAACATCCACAGATCCTTCTACCACGACAACGCAAGAGCCCACAACGACAACAACTACAGAATCATCCACTACAACGACAACGGATCCGTCCACAAGCACATCCATAGAATCTTCTACAACGACAACAACAAATTCAACAACAAATCCAACAACAGATCCAACAACAAATCCACCAACAGATCCAACAACAGATCCAACAAGAGATCCAACAACAGATCCAACTACAGATCCAACAACAGACCCAACTACAGACCCAACTACAGACCCAACTACAGATCCAGCAACAAAACCAACTACAGACCCAACTACAGATCCAGCAACAGAACCAACTACAGATCCAGCGACGACGGCATCGAATTCAACAACAACTACAGAGTCTTTCAGCACAACAACCACAAACGCTTCTACAACAACGACTACCGATCCTTCCACAACAACGACATCAACAACGACAGATCCAACAACGACAACCACTTCAGAATCTTCCTCTACGTCGACAACGGCTCCATCCACAACAACAACTTTATCGTCTTCTACAACGACAACGGCTCCATTCACAACGACAACTTTATCGTCCTCTACAACGACAACGGTTCCATCCACAACGACAACTTTAGCGTCTTCTACAACGACAACAAATAACCCGACAACAACTACAACAGAAAACTCCACATCTTCTGCTACAACAACAACAACAGCTTCCACATCAACTACAACCACAGATTCTTCTACAACGACAACAACAGATCCAACAACGATATCAACTACAGATTCCTCTACGACAACAACAACGGATGCCTCCACAACTTCAAACACTGCCGCATCTGTAAGTAAAATAACATAAATATAATACATAACCAGAGAAGTCTAATAGTTATAAACACCTTTTATGGCAGGCTCAACCCTTGACTGTTGAGGTCAGAAATGCGGACGAACGGCTTGTAGATTTCGATTTGGAAGCCGTGGCCTTGAACACGGATACGGGAGAACCAAACTGCACGGAGATCACCAAAGTCCTGATAACCACAGGATCAAGGATCGTCTTTCAGTTCTCTGGATGTATTGTGGCAAGGACTTCTTCAAGTATATCCACAACTCCGACCAGCACTACTACAACTCCGAAAAGCACCACGGGAACAACATCGCCTCAGGAAACGCCATCCTACCAGTGGTATGGTCAATCCACGAACTATGCCCAATCTCATGTCATATATACCTACTAGTTGGACATTGTTTTTAAGGCCCCAATAAAGAGAATCTGATACTTTAACACACAAAAAAAATACTTTTCACACTATTTTCCTTAAAAATTAATTCAAAATCTTGATATGAACAAAAGTTTTAGATCACAATAATAACCAAAACAAATCTTGAGGTATTTAAAAATGTATAAACTGCGAAATACTTAAAATTCCAATGATCGATATTCCACTTAAGCCAACGGAACACGTTTCTATTTTTATTCGAAATCAAAATACAAGTACATAGAGTTAGTGTTATATCAAGGGAAACGTGATCTTCGATCGCTGGAAAAAGTGCCACACGTGAACTTTGCAACGCCCTTCAACCCGTCGTCGAAGTCAAGTGCAAGTTCCCAGCTGTAAAATTCTTCATTCCGATTCTGCTGACTCATGTCTTAGCTCATTTCTTTCCGAAGAACTGCGGCTCGCAGACAATTTCACATGACTCAAGGTTGAGCTAAGCCACCGCGATAATGGCGGCAAAAATAAATTTCATAATGAACTGCAAGACGGAATGAAAGTGGGAGAAGAGGCGTCTGGTTTTTGCCGATTGATACGAGAGTTATGGAAGCAATATTAAAATAATAATAATAAAAAACAGAGTCCCCGACACGTACACAAGCATTGCAAGTGTATGAGAGCACCGAGTGTTAGGATAGCTGGACGTATAAAAACTGGAATCGTTGGGGGTCATGGCATAGTCGTTTTCGAATCGTTCTTTCAATATGACAGCAATTCTACTACCAATTGGAATCGCCCTGCTCGTCGCAGTTCAGGCTAGGGATTACGGAGTTCCTTACTACCCAGCACCGCACTATTTCGAGCACCAGCAGCCATATGATTTACCGTGTCCGCCGTCGGGTCCCGAGAGTCTGGTTTGTGCCGGTGCTCCCGGTACTCAGCCATCCACCTTTCCCAGTCCCTGCGAGGTCCAACGTTTCAGAGCCCTGACAGGCATAAGTGAGTATTGCCCCCGGTCCATCAATCGCCTATAAGTCACTCACCAATTCGAACTCTCTACAGACTGGGAGATCATCCATGAGAATAGGTGCGAAACTTTCGAAGTCTGCCCGGATAACTGCCAGGATCAGTACAATCCCATTTGCGGAAAGTACAAGGATGCCAGGCGAAACTTCCGGAGTGAATGCGAGCTGCAGCTGGTCAAGTGCCGCACAGGACATCGTAAGTATTTCGGGACAAATTAAGATAGACTCTTCGGATCATATAACACGGAAATAGTCAGTGTTTATTATACCAAAAAAAATATTTTATTGAATTTAAAATATTTATTTATTTTATAAACGTTTCCTTGCCTGCAATGCAAATTTTTAATATTTATTTCATCATTTTTTGATAATTATAAATTCAGCTTAATTGCGAAACTGTTAAACTTATTTTAAACGGCACGTTTTAGTCAACAATTTGTCAGTAAATACATAAGCCAAGGCATGGGTTTATAATAAAAAAATGTACATAGTGTACGTCACAGTTATAGAGCCTTTAGCTTTATAATCAGAAAAAATTATTCAAGTAATGTAATTCGTAAAAACTCTATGAAAAAATAACAAATAATAATAATTATAAGAATTATATATATAAAATATTATATCTACAATGACTGTCACCAATTTATTAATTCTAGCTTGGAGAAAGCAGCACGATGGCCCCTGTGAAAGTAGATATCCAGTCGCCCAATCACCTCGCGCTCAAAACTACAATCCCTATGCGATCAACCCATACCAACCGAACTATGGATCTTCTGGACCGTACGCCTCCTACGGAGCAATTGCACCTCCTCAAGGACCCTACAGATCCCAAAGTCCTTATGGATCTCAAGGACCTTATGGATCTCAGCGATCGGCTGGACCTTACGGACCCTACGGACCATATGGATCGCAATCTCAGCCTCAAGGTTATCCACAAACGTCATTTGTATCCCCGAAACCCAACTATGAGCCACCAGTTTATCACCCATATGAGATTTCCTGGGAAAACATACCCACTGAGTCCGATTACGCCATTACCTCTAAACCTTATACAAATCCGACCTACGAAGAAACACCAACCGCTTCTCCCACCACTACTTCCACTTCCCCCACAACCACTTCCACCACAACTGCTTCCCCAACAACCACTTCTACCACAACAACACCTACTACTACAGAGGAGGAAGACACCACTGAGGCTCCAAGTGTAACTTCAAACCCTAGGCAGAATATAAAGGTAAATGCCGTGATCGAAGGACCAGCTAACAAAACCACCCAAAAACCCTCTACTACGGCTTCGCCAACTGAAGCCCCAACAACAGAGGCAGAACTACCCACGGAGCCCAGTTCCACAGAGTCCAGTGTCACTGCTCCTCCTTTGAAGAAATACGCGACAACTGCTTCTCCACAGCATGCAACAACCACAGCAAAGCCATCAAAGCCTTCTATTTCCATAAACGCCGTAAAGGAATCTCGACAGGAAGTTAAAGAGACCACTGAGCAGCAAACTAGCACAGAATCAAGCACACCTAAAACCAAACCCATCTATCAATCCCGCAACATTTATAAGGCACCCACAGTCTTCAGCTCTACTGAAAGTCCTGAGGGCGAAAAAACCACTCAAGAGTCTTTAGATAAGGTCTTCAAAATAAACGCAGTGAAAGTGAGTACCGAGAAGAAGCCTGAAGAGACCACTGAGGCGGAGACTACCTCAGCATCTACCACTACCAAAGCGCCACCCACCTACCCATCATATCCAACTTATCAGTCCTCTAACGTCTACAAAACTTACCCAGTCTATGGTTCTACTGAGGCTGAGGATGAGGAAACTACACCAGAGTCTGTAGACAAGGTGATTAAAATAAATGCAGTGGTAGTAAGTACTGAGAAGAAACCTGAAGAGACCACTGAGGCAAAGACTACCTCAGAATCTAGCACTCCCAAAGCGGCACCGACATACCCATCATATCCAACATATCCAACCTCAAATCTCTATAAAACTTACCCAGTTTATAACTCTACTAAAGCTCCTGAGAATGAAGAAACCTCTCAAGAGCCTTTTGAAAAGGTTCTCAAAATAAATGCAGTTGAAGTAAGTACTGAGAAGAAACCTGAAGAGACCACTGAGGCGAACACTACCTCGGAACCTAGCACTCCAAGAGCGGCACCAACTTATCCGTCATATCCAGCTTATCCATCCTCAAGTGTCTACAAAACTTACTCAGTCTACGGCTCTACTGAAGCTCCTCAGATTGAAGAAACCACTCAAGAGTCTTTAGATAAGATTCTCAAAGTAAATGCAGTGGAAGTAAGTACTGAGAAGAAGCCTGAAGAGACCACTGAGGCGAAGACCACCTCAGAATCTAGCACTCCAAAAGCCGCACCGACCTACCCATCATATCCAACTTATCCATCCACGAGTGATTATAAAACTTACCCAGTCTATGGCTCTACTGAAGCTCCTAAATATGAAGAAACCACTCAACAGTCTTTAGATAAGATTCTCAAAGTAAATGCAGTGGAAGTAAGTACCGAGAAGAATCCTGAAGAGACCACTGAGGCGGAGACTACCTCGAAACCTAGCACTCCCAAAGCGGCACCGACTTACCCATCATATCCAACTTATCCATACACAAGTGATTCTAAAACTTATCCAGTCTATGGCTCTACTGAAGCTCCTGAAGTAGAACAAACCACTCAAGAGTCTTTAGATAAGATTCTTAAAGTTAATGCAGTGGAAGTAAGTACTGAGAAGAAACCTGAAGAGACCACTGAGACAAAGACTACAGCAGAATCTAGCACTCCCAAAGCGGAACCAACATACCCATCATATCCAACTTATCCATCCTCATCATATGGGTCTACTGAAAGTCTGGAGGATGAAGAATCAGAGGATGATAAAACTACTGTAAGGTCTTTGGACAAAGCCATAAAGATTAACGCAGTCGCGGAGTCCCAAAACAAAACATTGCCAGAACCCAGTCAAAACTCAACTTCTGCACCCACTGTTTCCGGGAATACCACCTCTGCTATATTGCCAGAAGTGCAACAAGGACTTACAACGGATGCACAGAAAGAGGCCAATAGCACGGAGACTGAATCAGGGGAAGTCCCGGAAATCGTGAGGACAGAAAGTGTCAGTAAGAACGGAACGGTGGTAAATTTGGAGGTGACCTGCAAACGAGAGTCCAAAAAGCTGAAACTGGATACATCAAGTTCCGACAACCGTAGCAATCTATACTTTATATTCTTGGGCTGCTAAACTAACTTTATAATCCATAATCCAACACCCATAATCCATTTACCATTTAAGTCATTGTTGCTGTTTATGTTAATAGTATAAATTTTTTAAATGAAATTATATATCGTTGTGTTTTGAAAGTGGTTGGTTTTTTTATAGTTCGGGTGCGCAGTCTGAAGTGCGGCAACTCGAAGATAGTGATATTGGGTTCTTGTAGTTTCAAATGACTTTCCATTGGAGATTGTAGACTAACCAGGGCTCGAATGTGGCGATGTTCTTGCCGTTCTTCATGGGGCGGGCATATTTCGGCTCCTAATCCTCGTAGGACTCCATCTCTCCGGTGATCCGTTTTTGACTCCACGCTTTGCTTCTTTTTACTACTTCACAAGTTTGTAAATACTCCCAGTCTTTGAAAATGTTCTTTGCCTCCTCACAAAAGAACTTGATGGGCCAAACAACTATCGAATTGAGCATCTCAATTTGCCTATCCAATGCTTTCACTTCTCCAGAAATAATGGGGTCCTCATTAAAATTAATGGGGTCGGATTCCGAAGGCTCTTCACGGGTCTTGTTCAGCATGCACTTAGGTTGGGGAGCGGCCAATATCCAGTCGCATATTACCAATCCATAAAAACAGATCAGCTGCGGTGAAGTTCAATTAGAGATACAAGATTCATTTCTCTTCACACAATGTTTCTTACCATTGACTTGTAGAACTTCATATTTTAATGTCTTTATATAATATACGTATTCGGTTTTTTATTAGTTAGTCGCCTTACTGATTGAAAAATGGAATTTATGGTAGTTCACATGTCAGACAGCAAAAGCCTACTTTGATGAAACAGCTGACTGGGCCTATCGGTCCTTTTCCAGTGTTTAACTTCGACAGGGTTGTCGTGTACACCGAAAAATAATTCTTATGTTGGAATGAATTCTGAACATGAATGAACATAAATGAATAATGAACAATTTATTTTATTTCCTCTTCTCTGTCAATAAGTACAATTAATTCTAGTTAACGAGATTAAATTGTTAAGTTCACCCTAATTAAATAAAGAAATAGATCGAATCGCTTTCGGCAGGGATTTTCTATTCGGACAGCGGCAAGTCCAAAACAACTTTGCAACCCTATTTATGAAAATTTGACAGTACTGTATGTATATTTGCATTTGTGTCACCTTTGGTTTTTATTTTCTTTATGCATTAAATGTTTACATTACTATTGAGCATTGGTCGATTTTTCACACGATGAGCACAACGGTTCTATTTATTTGTGATGTAATAGTATGAACAGTTTTCTCTACAGCATAGGTGAGGAGAATCCAGACAAATTATTTTGGGTTTGACAAAATACAAATAAATTAAACATTTTTATTTTGTCAGGCTGGTCTTAATAAAAACCCTGTCTCTACGAATTCGCTTTGGAATTTTGAAAAATTAAATTATAAATTTTCATGGTGAATCTGATGAAATTGCGATCCAAGGAGGATCAGATATCCAACTTATCGACTCTCAAGTTCCTTTAAAACTTATCCAGCCCATGACTCTAAGAAGCTGCCGGGGATGAAGAAGCCGAGGATAAGAAAACTTCTGGATGGCCTTTAGATAAAGGCCTGCAAACGAGAGTTCAAAAACCTAAAGCTATATACAACAAGTTACGACAACCGCAGCAATATATATTTTATATTCTTGGGGTGTTAACAAAGCCTATTTACCAGATAAGTTAATGTTGCTGTTTAAGTTAATAGTGTAAATTGTATAAAATAATATATCATTGTACTCTAAAGGTATTGGTTTTTTATGAGTTAGTAGTTGGCGATTACAGTTTTGTTGCTTAGTCTGAAGTGGTGAATCTCGACGACAGTGAAATGATAGTCCTTTAATGGCAAAAGGTTTTCAACCGGGGATTGTGGACTATTCCAAGGCTCGAAAGGGGTGATGTTCTTGTTGTTCCTCGGTCGACGAAAAGGTTTCGGCTCCTTATCCTCGTAGGACTCCATTTGGTCTTCATCTTCCTGGTCATCCATTTCCGACTCAAAGCCTTCCTTCTCCCTTTGAATCTTGAAGTTACGACGTTCCAAGTCGATAAGTACCGCTGTATTATGCCGCAGTATTTCAAACTGCTCTCTTATTTGATTACCGAGAAACTGAAACGGCCAAAGTAGTAGCGAATTGACAAGCTCCACTTGATTTTCCAATGCTTTTACTTCAGCAGAAATTATGGGATCTTCAGTCAGATCAACGGGGTCGTAGTCCGAAGGATTAATAGTCTGGTCCAGCTTGCACTTAGGTTGGGGAGCGGCCAATATCCAGTCGCATATTACCAATCCATAAAGGCAGATCAGCTGCGGTAAAGTCCAATTAGAGATAAAAGGTTTATTTCTTTTCGCACCATTGTTGCTTACCATTGAATTGGAGAACTTCATATTTTAGTATTTATTTCATATACCTATTCTGTTTTATATAAGTCAGTCGTTTTAATGATTGAAAAATGGAATTTATGGTAATTTACACGTCAAGCAGCAAAGGCCTACCTTGATAAAACAGCTGACTGGGCCTATCAGTACTGTTCCAGTGTTTAATTCCGACTGACCAGGGTTGTCGTGTCCCAGAAAAATTATTTTAATGTTGGAATGAGTTCAACAAAACTATCTTCTTTTCTCTATTAATAATCCAAGCCAACGAAAAAGATGTTTCGAATTTAAGTACCATCTAATTTTATGTAGTAATTGGGCTTCACGCTTTTGGCTGCGATATTTGTTTTCAACATCGGCAACTTTAGAACACTTTTGCAACACTATTTGTTAAAGTAACACAGTACCGTCGTACAACACCTTTTTAAAGTCTACAAGTATATTGCTATTTAACTTAATACCTTTTCTTTTTTCTGGGATTTCATGCATTGAATGCATACATTATTATTACGCATAGATATAACCAAGAAAGGCCAAGAATAGCGAGCCAACATTTTTGTTAAGAGACTGCCGTTGATGGATATTTTAGAGAAAAACTTCCATCACGAGGGAAATTTTATAACACTAGTTTTTTTCGATTTTCTTATAGTTTTATTGTTCATCCTAAACAGCTATATAAATAGATTCAATAAATAACAAGTAGCTGAATTTAAAAAAGACGCAATCATCTATCAAGAAGCCTTAAATTGAGGAGTTGTAGTGAAAATGGATTTCTGAGTGGTGCTCATTGCCTGGGTTATGGCCTCCGAAACCTTCGAAGTGGTTTCTTGACTTATGTCAGTGGTGCTGGACATCAGTGTGGTGGAGTAACTCTTGATGGTGGTGGTGCCCAGAAGACTTGTGATCCTAGATTCCTTGGTGCTTGTGGTTAAAGCTGGTGTGGGTGTGGTGGATGTGGTGGTGGGGATGGTACTGGTAGTGCTTTCTATTGGGGAATAGGGCTCCGTGACACGACCCACTTCCGGCAAAAACATCGAGAGCGAGGAGTCGGTTATCTCGCCGTAATCGTGACCCACATCGGGGATATTGTACACATTATAGGCATCCACTGCTTGGGAAACGGAGACCATGGGATTGGCCAAACTCATCAGTTGCTGGAATTGCATGGGTGAGGGACTGGTGCTGGTGGGTTTGGTGGGTCTCATCCTGGGCGTCGTGGTGATCCTGGTGGTTGAGGTGGTGGTGGAGGTCCTTGGCGTGGTGGTGGCGCTCCAAGGAGCAGGAGTAGCCAGCATTAAGTATACTTTCTTAGGAATATTATCAAACTTTGAGATGGATGCGGCTTTAATGGGTCGCTTATGTTTGTTGCGACGCAGCTTCTTCTTGCGACCGCTTTTTGTGGGAGTTTGGCAAGGACCTGAGTGCAGGATTCGCAGGACTAGGCAGTAAGAAGATGGGATATAAGGTTGTAAGAGGGCTTATTGGTTTCGAAATGGTTACAGATTTTTTTGGGATTTTCCCCCCATACTATAGTTAAATTGTAATTTTTACAGACCTTGTTTCGTGTGGCACTCACGACGTCGCATCTCGCACTCGTTGGCGAAGGTTTGGGGCACAGCTCCTCCGATCTCGGCCAGCGCGCAAACTGGTCGCTCCACCTGGGTGCACTTCATCGTCTGGCAGGTGGGCAGGCATCGCTCCATCTCCGTGGGCTCAAGTTCTGCATGGAAATCACTCAGGGCAATAGGTAAGGATTGTGTTTTTCCAAATAAGTATAGAGAAATATGTCATTTTAAGTAGGCATGTCCGTAGAAAAACATTTTAAGGGGCTTCAAAGATTGTTTGATGTTTAAAATCCTCTATTTTTTAATGAGTAAGCCTAACATTTTAAAATAATTATTATTAAATTGATTTAAAATAGTTCAACGTTTTAAAAAATTTTTTTTAAATAAATGTTAATATTTTACCTTTGAAACAATTTTCGAAGTATTTTGTTATGATTGCATTGACTATTATGCATTTAAGGTTTAATATTATATTTCTGTAAATCGGCATTTTTAAATAATATTCTAGTGATTAATCTGAGAACTTGTAAAAAAATATTTGATTTTCAATGATTTTCTCAAAAATTGTATGAAAATACAAATTGTCGAAGCTTTGTAATCGAGAACTTAATATTTGAAGTACTAAAAGTACCTACAAACAGTAAATTCTCTGTAGTTAACAATAAAATTGGTCAAGTTTTTTATGATAGTTTGTTTTAGTGAGTAGGGTATATCTGATTATATGTTATTTCGACCTCACCTGTGCCGTACTGGAAAAGCATCTTCATGTTGGCCGCCTCCAGGCGACAGTTGTTCTCGAAGTAGAAGCTATCGGTTCCATTGGTGGCGCAGACGGGCACTCCACCTGGCTGGCAGTTGGGCTGGTAGTCCACATACTGGATCTGCATGGCTCTTATTTCTTTATTGTCCTTCTCGTCGGAATCCTGACCCACTCCCGCATCGCCCAGGATCTTGGCGTACTGGTCACTCGTGTAGTGCGGATCACCCATTTGCCAATTGGCGATGGGTGAGTGTTTCTGGGCCGCCAGGATTTCAAGAACTTGGAGCAGGATCAGGATCAAGATCATGGTTATAGCCTTAATGCTGGTAATTGTGCGCTTCTGCTGCGAGTGCATCTCGAGTTGTTTGTGCCCTCTGTAGATCGAATCCAGAGCTTTATAGTGTTTCTTGGGTGACTTATCGCCCAAGTTCGTTGCATTTTTCCACTGACACAGCATTTATCGCTGGTGTTTTGCATATTTTCTTCTGCGAATTCGATAAGCACCCACCCACTTAAGCAGGTGGCTCTATAAAGCACCATTCATGGCTTTTTATCGCTCTTAGAACTGTGGGTCATTCACGTGTCTGCCTATCAGTCAACTACTCTGAGATCATTTACTGGTTAACCAGAAAGATTGGGAGAAAACATGGTCCAAGCTATCTGGTGACGAGGCAGTATGTTAAGGTAACCGATTTTATATGTCTAACAAAATATAAAAAATAGGCTTGCTTAATCTTAAACGATTTAATATAAAAATTGTTTGTAGTTATTCATATTTTGTATTTTATGTAAATTGAAAAGTTTCATTTAAGGTATTGAATTGGGTTTGGGACTTAGACTCGTAAGTTTTATACCTGTGCTATAAGGTATTTGTAACGAAAATAAGCTCTAAAGCTTAAAAGCCAAATGTCCTTAGGAAGGATGTAAAAGCTTAGAAAGAGCTTATATTTATTTTTGAACAGGTTTTTATAAAACGACCCAGCTTAAAGCTACTAAGTTTTCAAGTTAGCTTTAAAGCTTATAATAAAATAACTTTTTGTTTATATGTTAAATACTTGCATTTCATAAATTAATTCAATTTCTATTAGAAATACATTTTTGTTTGATCATTTGACTTTCAAATTTATTATTCATATGAATAATAACAATTTGATTTTAAAATTATATATAAAATATAAAAACAATGGTATTATAGATATTTACAGTACTCGCGTTTCTTAATCAAACCAAGGGGAAATTATTCCTAACAGTAATGTACATAGGCCTTCCTCAAACTATATTCACATTACAATTTCTTGTAAATTTTAACGACTAACACTTTGTGTTAAAATTAATCTTATATTATTACAATACTTTAAAAATACTGCTTTTAAATATATGTACTTATATTTAATTATGTATAGTCGTTGATATTCTTTATAAGTATAAAGAATAAAGTTTCCTTTTTAGAGCACTAAAAACAAAAAGACTAATAGTTCTGTAGAAAATCTGTGGTTACTTGCCCTCAAGTTTATGAAGGGTAAAGGTAAAAAATACATATTTACACACAAAAATGTTATACATGTAAGTACAAACAAATATTTCCATATCTTTGCTTTTACGATGTCCTTGGTATCGTGTCCTGGGCACCATTCCATCCGAAATCCCTGCAAAGTTTCAGATGTGGTGCCCAGTTTGGAGCGTCAACAAACAGCCAACTTATTTTTGGGCAAGTTTATTGCTTTGTCGTTATTGAAAATGAAAGAGCAAGGGCGTCTGTTCGAAGCCCCTCCCCCCAGATCCTTTCACCACCCCCCCTCCTTTGAATGTCCTGCAAAAGCCCTTTCCACACTTTCACCCAAACTCAAAGACACACACACACACACACGAAGAGTAATCTGCATATGCTTATGGGTGCGGACCAGAAGATACAATTTATTAAACTCTCCTTGCACACACACACACTCAGCTAAAAATGGGCAAAGCAAACAACAAAAGTTTCCTATTTCCTTTCAGGACGAAGGGTCCTGAGACTTTCAAATCCATTCTGTGGTCGAACAATGCACTGCTGTGGCACGGAAATAAACCAAAAAGACGGAAGTCAAAGAACGGAAGCCGGTAGAACAGGAGAATGCAGTGAAAATTGGATCGCACACATGATATCTTCGATTAGAGCTAACTTTTCATGCTCCAAGAGAGACCGAAATAATTAAAAACGAAATTTGAATGCTGATTTTTGGATAGTAAAAGCAACTTTGAGAAAGCAGACACATTGAAAGCGGACTTTGATGGGTCTAGTTAGAGATTTTAGAAGTTAAATTTTGGGTCATTTTTAATAGGTCATTTAATAAAAATTTAAATGATTATTAAGAGTATTGAGCTATAAACTGTTTAGGTTTTTATACTTAGAATTTGGGATCCTATTGCTCAAGTAATAGACCTTAAAAGTATAGTCACTGTATCTATCATAGTAAAGCCATTGGTATTTAAAAAATAAAAAACCTTAGAATAGGTCAAAACAATTATTCATTGCCGAAGTAAAAAATATTCATGCAGTGTTTTACATTTTAAAACTATTCTAAAATTTAGAATATGGCATATTTATTATTTTTTTAACACTTTAGACTGTCGTCAACATTTTGAAATTATGAAATCGGATTTCGATGGGTAAGATTATATTCCGAGTGGTGAAAGTTTTGGTTCACCTTTCTTTCAGTAGCTAAAAATCAAACCAACATTTACAAATAAAATGTTATTATAATTTATGAAAAATCTG